AGGTATGTTAATTGACCATCAATAGAGGTAATATGAGAGCATGATGTTTTCACTAATGGTAGAGAAATTGAATTTGGTGGTAGCAGCTCATCCCCATCCTTATTCCTTGACTTGGTCGTAAAAGAAGATGAGATATGTGTGTCAAAGAGATGTTTGGTGCCATTCTTTATGGGTAAAACTTATGTTGACAAGGTTTGGTATGATGAGGTGCGGATGGATGGTTTTCATTTATTATTTAAGAGAGCTTGGCAATATGATCAAAGAGTTATACACAATGGCTTTTAGAACACTTATACTTTCTCTTTCAATGGAGTTAAAATTTTGCCATTGCCATTAAAGAAGGAAGTCTTGGTTAGATGTGTTACTACACATGATGAGGTTGTTTCTACATCTATGTTTATGAAGAGTGAAGTAGATGAAATTAATGAAGAAAAATTCCAATAACAAGAAGAAGGTTTTGAAGCTGAAATTTCCAAAAGAGTCTTGTCCCCAAGTTTGTTCGATTTTGTCATCTCTTTGTTACAAATAAATAAATGATACCATATACTTGGAATTAAGAGATTGATATCATCCAAAATGATTACAAATGCATTTTTGACACATCACCATATGATATTTCAAAAACTCAAATCGTAAAATTATAAGATCTTACTAACCACATAAAAATAAAATAAAAATTTTCACAACATAAAACTTCAAGAAAATAAAATAAAAATTCATACATAAAGTAACATAAAAAAGAAAAAAAATATATCCATGTTCATAGATTTTTATTAACTCACAATTAAAACCACTAAAATAAACATGTTGTCATCCCACATCAAGTCTATTACCAAAGGCATTTTTTCTAGATTTTTTTTATGAAACTAGATGCCATATTTTATTCAAGAATCAAATTTCAAATCAGCCCCGTAATAAAGTTAGACAATATGCATTTTATAGGGAAAAAAATAGACTTGACCAAAACATGCATTGCATTTACACTTAGTTTCAATAATATTTCAATTAAGTTTTCTCGCTTTAATCTACATATTTTTCACTACTTGAAATTCACTAAATAGTGATGAATATTATGTCCGTCTCTAAATAAAAAGCAAATAGTGATCGAATAGTGTCCGTTTAAATCGACGACGGATTTAAGATATAATAACAACTAATTTCCTTTTTAGGTAACTTGCTTCTAAATTAGGAAATTGATTTCTAAAATAAGAAAATTTTCATTTTAGAAACTTTTTTCAATATATTTGCTTCTCTTTTATTATGTGAATGCATAAACTTATGTGTGTGACTCAATAGGCTCCTAGATATGTTCGTAATGTATCGAGAAAAAAAGATACCTCATTTATCTCTTGATACAAAAATCAAGATTGGCCTATAGTAAGGCATCATGGCTACGTAATTTTCTAGGAGAATTAATTAATCCGTAATTATCTTTCACGAGCATGGTTATCATATAATTCATTCCTCATATCAATTTATTATAGTATGATCTCGAATTTGGTTATTAGTATGTTCGATTATTATCACAAAAGTTTTTTTTGATTCCCAAATGTCTTAGCTTTTAGAGTAAACCAACTATGTTATATTGGTGTACTCCTACCGTAGCCACTGCATTTCTTGAGTACACATTCATCGAAGTGTAATGTGATAACTCCTTTAACATACAAAGAATAACATGCCCTATCTTAGTCATCTACCTACCTTCATTAGATTCCTATCGCACCCAATGAATCGACCACATGCAATCCTTTAATGAGTCCCTCGGAATGAGTTTCAAAATACACAAATTCTTTAATGAGATAACCATGATGACTTTAAGTCAAATGACCGATTATACCCATTTCGTATAAGATTTTCATAGACTAAACCAAATGGATTCTCCCGATATATCAAGCCTAGTGATATCTTCTCTAATATTAATCACCTAAGTACTTGCTTTGGCATCATCATGCCAATAGGTGTGGGATCTCATATTGTTATCTTATAACAAGGACATAGCACTCACAAGTCTAACCGTTTATAGTCAATGTCTATTCTTAACAATACTATGACTTGAAAATTTTAATGATATTATTTAAGTGTATTAATTTTTATCTCACATCTTTCGATCAATCATTAATGTAAATGGATATCATATGGACTTTTATCTAATTTTTTTCAATAAATAAATAAATAAAAATAATAAAAATTAATAGAAAGACTTCTTTTATTGTTAATAAAATAAATAATGCGATGTTACAATACCTCAAATCATTTAATCAAGGTTAGATCTTGGATACCTACACTAACATTTAGAACCCTAACCCATCATCCTTACTCTCTTGCTAGCTCAATCTCTTTTTTTTTCCTCCAAAAATCTAATCCCTAATCGATTGCCTCTTTATCCTATAGTTTTCCTAATATCTTAAACGTTGTTTTGTGAAAATTGAATCCTTAACCCTCATAATCAGTATCCTACTTCAATTTCAAATACAAAACCTAAACCCACAACTAACCCATCGGTCCTAAAATCCGCCTCTCATAAGTCATCCCAATCATTCCTCACCCACAAATCATAATGTGAGGGTGTGTGAAATCAAAAAAGGGAAGGGTTATTATGAAATGGCATGATACCATTACTCATTAAAATAAATAAATAAATAACTAAAATAAAATCACATTGACACAAATGGAAATTATGAATCGAAGAGAAAATCGACCTAGAGCTCGAGCGAGCAATGGTAGAAGCGAGATGATGTCCAAACCGAATGGCAAGGTTGTCCCGAAACCAAAAAATATAGTAGTTATCTTGATATTGCTAGTTTTAGTGCCTTTTTTAGATTGTTTGGTAAGAATTTCTAACTTTTTTGTTGTGCATCTTTGCTTCAATTTCTCTTTCAATTCCTTTTTCTCACTCGTTTCCTTCCAATTCTCCTCCAAATCAAATTCTCTATTTTCTCCTACTAAAACCTTAAAATTTACCCCTATTTATACTCGAGAGACTCTCTTCACCCCTAGGATCAATTCTTGCCTCCTTCATAGCGAAACAAAATTTTCTTGCATGCTCGTATGTTTTGGCTCGTATGAACAGAGTGTGTTATGCTCGTGCATTTGTGTTTGTTTTGTTAGTGCAACATGGTAGGAAAAATGTACACGGTAATTCTCTAATGGGAATTGTGGTACAAGGAAGAGCTAGCATCCTTGTCACTTCCGGCTTGTTGTCTTCATTGGTAAAGATGAAATAAAGCCAAAAGGGTGGTAGAGTGCGGGAACTTGCTTGATGATTTTTATTGAACGGGTTCGGATGACAAGTCATTTTAGTGATCTAAATTGGTCTTGTCGTCCGCATCTTAAGTTGATTTAGATCCCCGTCGGTTAGGTTTTGTTTCAATTGTATCATTTGGATGTATTGATATAGTCCTTATACTTTGTAGTTTCTTCAATTAAGTCCCTAGGTCATGTAATTGTGGTTCGAAATTTTCGGTCGATTCAATTGTATTGCCTCAATTTCAATTTTGTTTGATTCAATTATGCCCCCGATGTAGTTAATTTTTATATTTTATTATTATTAATAATAAATTACAAATAAAACAAACAAATAAAAGAAGATAAGAAAATAAATGATAAATAAAAGATAAAAGGAATAAAAAATTAAGAGAAAGTTTTGGGTTATGAAAAAAGTTACACGGACACACCATACTATAAAAATAACCATTTAGTAAGCAAAATTCTAATATCAAGTCAAAAAACTATCTCAACTCAAAATTTAAATTATTATGAGATTTTGTAAATAGTTTTATAGTGCTCTCTAACACATTAATTCTTTCAAGTAAAAACTTTTAGGTTTAACTTATACAAAGCCATTACTATCTTATGCTAAATTATTTAATTTTAATTAAAAAAGAAAGAAGATACGATAAAATTACTCATCAAAACTTTGATAACATATAAAACTCTAAAAATAGTTTTATATTACTTTATCAACATAAGTATTGTTTTCTAGAATTATTTACGGAACTAGATGCCATGTCTTCTTCAAGAACTAAATTTCAGATCATAAATGATAATGTTAAAGTAAACTCACGTACTAATTAGGTTCGTGTTGAAAAATCTTTGTCGGAAATGTTTCTTGACCACTATGTGTGCCTGAATCTTCAATGTCCAAGGTGCCTGTATTAGATTACTAATCTTCAATAATTTATCTGTGTCATGACGTTTAAAGACAGGTAATGAAAGCAACATTACATGCTCTTTTTGTATTCATTCTGTCGCATATAGATTGTTCCGGTCTTTATTTACATCTGTCTCAAAATATTTATTTAATCAAAATTTTAAATAATATATTTTTGAAAATGTTCTTAATTAAAGTTTATTTTGTTAAAAATTGTTGAAATACAATTTAATAGGAATATTTTTGAAAAGTAACAAAAAAATATATTAATATGATATAATAATTAATAACTTTTTTAATCTATATAAAAAGTAAAAAGAAACAATTTTTTTAAAACGAAAATAGTAATTAATTATTTTTTTTCATATCTTTGGAAATGGTGGAAAGCACAATTTATGATGAATATTTTTCAAGCAGCCAGCTGTGGAGGAAATTAATTTTCCAAGCACACAATCGTAAAAAATTATGGATTAAAATTTACGTCTTTTTTCTTCTTCTTCTTTTTTTTTCCCGATGTTTTTAAACATCATCAGCTTAATCACGTTATAAAAAGCAAACGAAAAACGTTGGCATTTGGCAAACATTTAATGTAAACCTAGAAATAAGCTGGGGTGATCAAATTACTAATGAGTTAGCTTGTTCATAAAGAAGACAGCCCATTTCACATGTTACAGCAGAATCACATTTCTTGATTTGAAACCAATCCCAAAGAGTTCATCTGAAAGTTTCCCGCACAAAATATTTCAAAAAACATCGGCATATAGATAGGAAATACAACACTACAACTAAAAATGAGCGATGAAAGACAAAATAGGAAGTGATGATCTTTGATGGATGGAAATAAAGCTCTTCAAGGCTTGTTTTCCAACCATTGATCAATCAAGTTTCCAACAGCAACATATGAAGATCCACCCTCTACTAAAATTTTCTGTGCCATTTCACTGCTTGCTTTGGCCTTGTCTCTAAGTTCGCCACCTTGTTCCATCATGGCTTTCACAGCTTTTGTTATATCATCTGCCTTGACAAAATCTTCGGGACAATCTTTCCTAAAATCCAATGTCAATTCCACTGCCAACCCCAAGTCCTTCACCAATTGAAATGCATTAATATGTTGCTCACCATATAATGGCCAAGTTATCATAGGCACACCATACCATAAGGCCTCCAAAGTCGAGTTCCATCCGCAGTGTGAAACAAAAGCACCTACTGCTTTATGTGCCAAGATTTCTACTTGTGGTGCCCATCCACATAGCATCCCTGTATTTTTAGTTCTCTCCAAGAAACCCTCTGGCAAGATCTCTCCATAGTTGTTCAATTCATTAGGAAGCAGCTGCCCCTTGGAGGGTTTCAGCCGAATGGACCATAAGAACCGGTGTCCACTCTTCTCGAGGCCGATTGCAATCTCTTTCAACTGAGCTTCATCAAAGGCTCCTCCACTTCCAAAGCACAAAAACACTACTGATTTTTCAGGTTGGTCATCAAGCCATTTCATGCTCTCGTCGCGCTTTACGGCATCCAATCCTGACAAACTATTTCCCTTGTGATCAACCAATGGCCCAACATTGAAAATTGGTGGTATGTCATCCTTAGCCAAAAGAGCACGAACTGCATGGGACTCAACTTCTGAAACTGTATTGACAATGATACCATTGGCATCTTTGAACTTCTTTCCATGGCTTGCAAATGTCAAATATTCACAATCGGTGTGCAGTAACGGCAAAACACGATAAGGCACAGGATTTGCATAGTAAGGGATGATATAGTCATGGTCATTAGGTCTAAACTTAGGCTCACCCTTGTCTTCTCTATCTGAAAGGTAAAGCATCAAGCCAAGAAAAGCAGCATTAGAAGTGAAAAACACATGAGATGGGATCCCAAGTTCTTTTGCAACATCAATAGCGGCAGTGAAAAACATATCAAAAACAACACTAGCAATCGGAGCAGGGTTGTTGGCTATCACTTGGTTAACAATAGCATCTTTTACAAGGGTTTTGTGATCATTGATGTAACAACTAAAAGCATTTGCAGGGCTTATAGCTAAAGCTTCTGGAGGAGGTAGAGCTATGGTTGCCGGAACTGCAATGAACCTGATATGTGTATGAATTGAAGCAAGTGATTCAATGTACTTGGTTATGCTACCATCATATGGATTGTTGACGAGAAGCATAGTTATCAAGAAACTGTCGTTTCTATCAAGAACCAGCTTTGCAAACTGAACAGCTGATACAAGGTGGCCAACTCCGGGTGAAGGGACGAAGACTAGCTGTGCTTTCTTCATTTTGGAGGTTTTGAATGTTGAATGTGGTTATCTTGTGATGCCAACTTATTTGCTGAAGTGATCCTTGCTTGCCTTATAATGGCTCAAGATCAAAGCCACAAAGCACCATGTGACACAACGGTAGATTTTGGATTGCTTGGCCGAAGTTTTCCCACCATTGGATGAGTGTTGTCCGATGGCGTAAACAATTCGAGGAAGAAATCTGAGCAGATAGATTTCTAGAACATAGCATTACTTGTTAAATATGTAGAATAAAGAATCCAAGTTTGAAACATAAAAAATGTTCGAATTAGCAGCTAAGATGCCAAAAGGGGTACAAATAGAGATTAATTAGTTGATAGCTGCATTTCTGGTAAGCAGCTAAGATGCCAAAAGGGCTGTCAAACTACCGATTTCTCTGACTCAGTCGAAAATCGTATGATTTGTGCAAATTGCCATTTGGGAAAGATGGCGCTTTCCTAATTTTGGGCTCGTTTGGGGCTGTCAAGCTACTGATTTTGCAGAGTGGGTGGAAAATCATAAGATCTTCTCTTATTGGTTGAGGTAGGCAGTGGACTGATGGAAAAGATCATGTACGAAAGAAATGTCTGATAAATATACAAATAGTAAGAGTATAAATGATTTACTATCTAGAAGCCAACTGAAAAGAAACTTAGTCTCAATGCATAAAACATGATTTAGTCTTTAATATGCGAAAATAAAAGATTCGGTGGTTGCTAGAATGACTTGAAGTCATTGTTTACTTCACTTTTTTTGTTACGGAAAAGTAAATGCTTTTGTTTACCTAATTTTACCGAAATTATGGATTACTTGAAGTCATCCAAAAACCTAGTTCTGGGCCTTGTCTGTTCTGATTTTTTCTTCTCTTTGATACAGACAACGTAAATGATATCATACGCTTTGGAGCTACAAGCTTGATATCATCCAAGGTTATTAAATTATTAACCATCAAGACAACTAATGATCTTTGAGATTGACCAAAAATAACATGTATGAATGAATTTAATGAAATAAGAATGAAACTTAAAAGAAGAAAATGAAGGATGAATTTAGCATATCTGTCCAGAATCCCAACTTTAGCTTGGTGGAAGCCAGATACACAGTTGTTTCTCTAGAAATTATCAATTCTAAAGCAAAAAAAAATTTAAAAAAAAAAAAAAACAGAGAAATTAACCATCAGCAATTAAGGAGTACAAACTGAAAACCGACCTGAATAAAGGAAGGTTCCACCAAAAAATTACTGATAACTCAAGGCTGAATTTACTTTCAATCTAGAAAAGAAACACAAACAGAGCTGTAAAGATCCATTTTTTCTTTAAATTTCTTATTCACTTGTTAGCAGTAAATAAAAAAAAAAAAACAAAGAGATGGGGATTAAATTACCTGCTTTGACGTGTGATTTAGGGTTTCTCACTGTAAGTTTGGCCACCCTAAAAACCCAAGTCAGGTTTAAGTCTCACTCTTTATGTTGATCTACTTTGATGAAGGTTTTCGACATCTCTAGTGTGTGTTTTTTATAATCTCTTGAGAGTTGCCAGCAAGTGCGCTTTCTTTGCTGTCTCTATCCCAACAAAAAACTAGACATTGTCTTTGGCTTCTCTCATGAAAATGGTATCCTTTCTTCAGTTATCCAATGTGTCCTAAAAAATTATTTTAGAGACTGTACTGCTGACATTATATGTAAAAAAAATGTTTCTTGACCGTTATGAAGTGCATGAATCTACCATGTCCAAGGTCCTTGTACTTCACTGCTAATCTCAATAATTTGGGTCTCGTGACGTTGAAAAACACGTAAAAAAGCCATTTGCTAACCATTTCAACGGCTGCCGCAACTTTATATTTCTTTTATTTATAGAAAAGCTAATCCTACTGTGAATTGACTGGTATTTTCTACGGTCTCCTTTCCTGTAAGAGTTTTTTTTTCCCCTCTTTTTTTTAAATAAAAATTTCATAGCCAGTGCAGTTGCTATACATTAAGGAGTTAGCGTTTTCAGTAAACGGCATAGAAATGAGTTCTTTTTTTTTTTTTTTTTTTTTTTGCCATAGATAGAAATCATGCAGTCTACTACTCTACTCAATTGTTAAACAAGACAGCAGAGGTTTATTTATTTATTTATTATTATATAGATTCTGAAATCTATTTAGTTGTTAAAGAAGCTAACCGTTATTAATTAATAGTTAAAAAGACCTATTATCACGATAAATTGAATTAACTATCTCTATCGAAATAAGATATTACTTTGATTTCTTTTTGTAAGGAGGCCTTTTTACGTTCAAATACTAAAAAAAAAAAAAATGAATTTGTAATTTTTTACAAGTGCAAGAAGGAGCTCATAATCATTAAACTATAAGCCTATTAGTGATAAAGAGTGTTTTTTTTTTTTTTTTGAATGCTCATATATAAACTTGTTAGAAGATATGTATAGAGTCGTGACTTTTAGATTTTATAATTTTAACTAGTATTTCAAAGTTTTGTCTCTCTCTTAAGAAAAAATGTAATGAAAGCAATATCACATACTATTTCATATTTAATTACTCCTTTCTTTTTTATATTTTTTTAGAATTAGTGGAAGGATTAATGACTTAATTTGCTCTTATATAACGAGTAATTTTTCGATCTGTTCTTATATCTCTAATTAAATCAATTTTATCTTTAAATATACATTGAGTGTTTAATATATCTTTTTGACAAGATTTTCAAAATAAATTATCGAAATTAGTCACAAGATTTGTACCCGAAAACTTTTTATTTGGCTAATTTGTAAGGGTTTTTTGGAGAATAAAAATTAATTATGTGCAAATTACATAAATAATTCTAATAATTTGGTCTAAAAATTTTAATGAGAATAAATTGAAAACTTAATATACATTTAAATATAAAATTAATTTAATTAAAAATATAAAAACGGATTAAAAATTTATATAAGAATCACGTTAAGCCATTAACCCCATAGTAGAAATCAAACTCTATGACGATATACTTCAAGCAACCTGCCATGTTTCCTAACGAGTAAATTAAATTTCCAAAGCAAACTTGGGTTTGAGTGGCAGGAATATATATATATATATATCTTCTCAATTGCTTCATAAAGGGTAATTAAGGATTTTAAAATGGGTTTAACCATCTCTTCTGTTGGGCTTTAACCACGTTAACCACTGTAACAAGGACACTAACTCAGACCAAACATGTACACGAAGCAGGACAGAACAATCCCATGTCGCTGTCCGAATCTCCCCAAGTAAATAATGAGACAGTAATTTTCAGCACAGCATGTCAAAGATTAATGCTTAAAATGTTATACTCCAACCACTTCAGCATTTGTAAACAAAGTCTACAACTCAAGGAAAGGATCAAGTATTTAAGTTTCTTGCTCTAATAGATGGATAGTTTTTTAGTAACAAAACTGTTCATCCTTTCAATGATCTGAAACAGAAAAACTACAGCCTTGTTTTCTACAAAACTCAGTATTTTCTAAGCTTAGTAAATCAGACATGCTGATCGAACAACAATGCCATCTCATCCTGATCTTTCAGCAGCCATTTTACATAAGGTAAAACTCTTGTTACTTGCAACTAAAAACAGTAGGATAATGAATCCATGATAAGACTTCTAATCTCCAGTGCTACTGCTGCTGCTGCTCGTATATCTGCAGGTAAGCCTCGGAGAGTGCAACCATTTGAGGAAGGGTTTCAGAAACATGCAGGTCCTGCATCTCGTACCTGCAAAACATTGATTATCAGATATGTTACATAATTACTACTTTCATTCGCGACCAAACAAGTGGATCAGAAATGGAATTACCATAGCTCTTCTGACTTCCGCTGCACAAAAACCCTATAGAAGCCCTCGTTAGGCTTTCCATCATGGACAATATTCGCAATCAAATCATACTTCGAGCGCAATCTCTCATTTTCTTTAGGCATTGGCAAAGGAATAAAATCTTTCAGTTCCAAGTTCTTCACAGGAAAGTTGACTGTGACAATAACAACAATTAGCACAGGATAGTGCAAAACCAAACCAAGTTCTACAGTTAAATCCACTGCTACCGTCCAGGGGTACCTAAGGTAGGATTCTTCTCAATGAAAAAGTTGTTCTTTTTAAATCGCTGCATATGTACTATTAAATACTGTGGTAATCTGGTGACACGATATTTCATCCGGGCAACACGAGGACGGACAACTTCAGTCACAGTCTCACCATCGAATTTCTTCAGTATATTGAAGAGAGGAACCTGAAACAATAGCACAAGTTAAAAATGTCTCCACCAAGAAAGGAAAAACACAAGTAGAATTTACACAAAGAAAAAAAAATCCAGCACAAATAAGCCCAAAGATTTGCAGCCTGCATTTCTGTGTCAGATTTGATCATCACATGCATACATACATACATACATACATATATACATCCATATAAACTGAAATTCAAACTCAGATGCTTCAGTTAATTCAGGTTTCATCTTGTGATGCCCCAGGTCACATATCAATGGATTATGAGGAATTTGAATTAGATAAATGGAATGGCTAATGGACCTAAGTGCAACAAGGAATTTCTTTTGGACAATTGGAACAAATAGGCCCAACTCAGTGGTGCAGATGTAGGCCTAGAGGCTGTTCACTGTGCACCAGGCCCCTCCCCGAGCTTGGGGGCGTTACACATCTAAACTCAAATTCAATAAGGTTTTAATTTAACTATTTGAGCAAAATATAGATTTGTATGGCAACCAACAAAAGCGCTAAACTAGAAGTTGAAACAGAAATAGAAATTAACACTTCCTCTCAATAGACAAATACAATAAGAGAAACTAGAAAACACAAAAACTGGATTATGTTCTATCTTCCATGGTCAATAGCAAACCCTTGATTTCCCAGGGATAATGGAGGCATGAGCTGAGACTTTGACTTATCTATAGATCTGGCCTAAAGAATTCTATACCAAAGCAGTCGAGTCTACAATCACTTCTAAGGAGCTTACCAAGCATCCGTTTTATGAACCGTTTCATTTGGAATAAGCATTAAACATGATTCAGTGCTTAAGGCAGAATCTTGCAACACCAAAGATATTGCAGGATGATGCCACCTAGCTCAGCTAGAGAAGTCTTCTGGCATCACCTCTTTAAACAGATATAGATCAAGTTATTAATATTTTCAACCTAGCTAACACGTAATGCATAAGTACCTGGGGTATTATATTTTTCTCCATCACATCTTTAAACAGAGGAGGTGGGGGCAAATCCAGTCCAAGCATCAAGAATGGCATTCTAGAAGTTTCTGTGAAAATATCACGATCAGTAATTCTTTGATCAGAATTCTGGCCATCACCATTTTCTTTCTTCTCAGTGATAGCTTTGTGAGGACTCTCTTTAACAACCTCCAACTCACCCTACCAAAACAAGAAGTTTAGACGAGCACCACTGAGATAAATAGTATTAACAAGCAAACTGTGTAATGAATTAGAGAGCATTGGAACAGTAGCTAGCACCTGAAAGCACTCATAAATGATACTGTTATTTTTCTTTGGAGTTCTAAGATTTGCATGTAGTGTATTAAGAAGCCATGCCATGAACTCCACGGGATCAGACTGTTGTCCGATGCGAAACCTTTTCTTACTAACTTTCATAACTGCCTGGAGAAATTCATGTGGGCTCACCTGATAATTCCCAAGAAATAGATAAGCAAATTAAATGAGGAAACATAAATCAAACATTGGAAAACCATAACTTCATTGAAATAGTCAAAGGCTCAAACCTGTCCTTTAAAGTTCCGAGCATGCCATATTTTACGTGTGAGTTCTCCAAAGCGTTGAACAAGAGGAGACTTACAATGCTGATAGTTTTCAGGGATGAGGAAGAAATTCCTTAAGGGTGTAACTCTCATTAGAGACTGAATCGTGACATTCACAAAATCAGTCTCCTTAATGTTATTCAGGCCCACCTGAAGATTTAAATCAAGCAACATAGTTAACAATGCTAAAGGACCCAAAATCTGCATCTTATTTCATAACTAAGTTGGACCAGTCTGCAACTTATTGCATAACTAAGTTGTATCGTGAGCAGCAATTTAGAAATCAGCATAATGAATTGGTGATCACGGAGGGAGAAGAGATGGTTACCATTCCAGGAAGGTAATCAGAACCATCAAGTGCCCTGGACCATTGCCTGTTTTTGTCAAGCTGTCCAACTTGATCCCTGGTAAACCTGCATGAAGGGTGCAAAGTTTCAGAAAGTTATTAAATTTATCCAAGAGAGTTAAAAAGGAAATGCAATCAACAACACCTGAGATAACCATCACCTATTACCATCTCAACAAAGAGCCAGGAAATCTAAAAAAGAACAATGACATGAACTGTCCCCACATAAAAAGCATAATGCACCACACACACCCAGCACACACAACGACTGAGAGTGAGAGAGAGACCTTGGATTGAGGACATGTCGTATGTCATCGAGTGATGGGTCAATAATCTCATATCCATCAGGAAGGCAATAAACCTTCTCTGTCCTAAGATTGATGTACACATGGTGTCCTGCTTCAAGACTGTGAGTATAAGCATGGGATTTCTTCCCTCTTCCTTGGTAATACTTCCCACAAACCAAACATGCATACACATTCAAATTCGACAGAGAAACGGAGCAAAATTTCTCAAAATCAAAATCCAACACCTGCAAAATCCAAAAAAGTTCATCATAAACATATTTTAAGCACACAAAGAAGTAGCCATATATAAACCAAAACCCATATAAAATATCCAAAGAAATATGCCCTTCAACATATTTATGTACACAAACATGCACATAACTACACAAACAAGATCCCAGATATATTATCCACAAAAAAGCATCCTTTTAACACATTTATGTACACAGACACACACATAACAAAATATAAGCAAAAACCCACATATATCTTCCAGAAAAATGCATCCTTCAACACATTTATGCCTGCAAACATACAAATAACAACACACATATTATCCAACAAAATGCATCCTTCCACACGTCTAAATACACAAACACGCACATAATTAACAAAAACCCCACATATATCTTTCACACATTTATGTACAACGATATACACATAACCTCATATTAACAAAAACACATATTATCTTATCCAAAAACACTACCTTTAACCCAATTAACAACATATGAACCCAGAACCCACATAAATTTTCCAAAAAAGATGCAATATTTACCTGTCGATTAACAGTGTCCAAATACGGGCAATCTTCACGAGGCTCATATTGACTCTTCCTCCTCTCCAAACTATTCCCTTGTCCATACAAATCCTCCTCCTCCTCTTCCTCCTCATCCTCACCATCCTCCGCCTCAAGAACTTCTGTATTTCTCGCCTCCACCCCACCACCAGCATTAATTGCTTTCCTTCTTTCAAAATCCTCCTCTTCATCATCCACATCATTGTAAGGCACAAGGGGGTTTTCAATACCAGAAGCTGAAGACTGTTCATCCACTCTCTGCCTCTTCGAAACACTACCACTTTCTTCAATCCCCATATTATCTTCTTCTCTCTTGTTTTTCATTATCTTTTCTTCCCTCACTGCTGTCATAAATTGAAATCAAAATACAAGCTCAAATTATGCAGATTTAAGAAAATTTCAAGCTCTAAAACCTCTAAAAAAATCAAAACTTTAATCAATAAAAAGAACAGCTCAAGATAAACAACAAAGGGGTTTTCTAGAAAACAACTAACCTTTGATTCGGTGATCTTGAGAAGAGCCCAATATATTTTCAGTGTCGAGCCTACTGCTTGCTGATGCATGAAGAGAGCCTTGTCAAGCCGACTTGCGGAAAAAAACAAAAACACGACGTGTCGTTTCTTACCTTTAGTTAACGCTAGCTCTTCCCCAAAATGACGTGTCGTTTTCGTGATCTGGAGGAGTAAAATATCGTATGGCAAACATCAAATATACCTCTAAATTATTGGAGTGATGTCAATTTTGCATTCAAACTATTTTTTGTATCAATTTTATACCTAAACTATTTTGATTTCTCAATTAAGACTTTTGTTAGAATCACTTAATGGAAAACGTTAAATTTCTTATAAAATGATGTAGTTTCTTATAAAAGAAAAGTACCATTTGGATGGATAGCATTAAAATAGATGGAAGTTTTTAATTGAAAATTTCTGAACGTTTAACGACAAAATCGATACAAAAAATTATTTGATGGTAAAATTGAGACTACTTATATAATTGAGAGTTATTTTTAGGTTTGCTTAATTTAAGGATAGTTTGTTTTTTATTAGTCTAAAAAAGAAAATTTAATAAATCAGCCACTAAATAACACCTTTTTTTTTATTATTTACTAGTAAAATATTTTATTTTCGGATGTAAAAAATCTCTTAATCTTAATAGAAAAAATTGAAAAGAAAAAAACAATGAACATATTTAAAAAATACATGTCCAAAAGTCACTATTTTGCATTTTGATGAGATCTATAAGCATTCCTATGGATTAAAAAAATACATCTAAGTCATTCTTATGAACATATCAAATGAATTTACACCGGATATTAAGTTTAGAAAACTGAATCCAACTCTATTAATTGAAAAGGACAGATATCATATTTATCGATTTAGAGATTTATTAATGGATAAAAAATAATTATAAGAATATAAATAAAAGAGTTAACTGATGAAATGGAAAGAGATTATACGTGTTTCGATGGAAGAGAAGAAGGTTTCAGGATTTCTTTACAGAAAATTTGAACTTCCATTTGTTCTTTCTTTGATTGGTTTTTGTTTGATTATAGGAAAATGCTACAAAAATGGCTACCCATGAGAATTAAACTAGCCTTTATAAAAAGGACTTTACTGAGTAATATGTCAATCATGAAGGCCCAAATTATAAATGCTATACAACTCCTTTTTTAAGTTGGGATTGGCCACGGCGTTGTTCCTGGCACCGGAGAACTGCCAATTTGCTGCTGAAATTTTTGGACAAACCTCTTAAGATCATAAACACATAAAGTAAACCATAACTTAAAAAAATTCATTTATGACCAGTAATTATAATATACATTCTTGTAAATGATTTTAGTGGCAAACAAACGAGTAAATTATAAATTAGTCCGTCAAGATAAGACAAATGAATTAATTAATTCTTCTAGTTTTAAAAAATAATTATTTAGTCCTTATATTTTTAAATTTTCTTATAATTTAATCCCTTTTTCTTTTCTTTTTTAATTTATTTTGATTTAAAAATAGAAAAAATAAGTAAAAAAATGAAAGCATGAATGAGAAAATATGAGATTTTATAAAATAAAATAATATCAAATAAAGTGTAGCCAACAATGGTTAAAAAAACTAAATAGTTAGATTTTAAACTAAAAGAACTAATTAATGCAGTTGTAAAAAAAAGAGGGACTAATTAGTAATTTACTCTAAACAGGCAGAAGCTCAGAAAAAAAAAAAACAGAATTATAGATATGACTGACAGCATAACAATCCCAATCAAATAAATTAACGTAAGGGCAAAAGCATCCTAAGAAAAAAATAGCTAAGAGAAAAAAAAACAAGAATCTCATAATTTCAAATTCGAAGAAATTATAAATTAGGCCTTTTTATTTCAAGAAATGAATTAATTAGTCTATCTTATTTCAAAAATTAATTATTTAGTCATCGCATTTTTAAATCTATTTATTATTTTTTAAATCTATTTATTATTTAGTTTTTCTTGCTCTTTTTAATTTATTGTAATTTTTTATTTTAAAAATAGAAAAAAATAACAAGTACATAAAGTTGATAAGAAAAAAATATTTTATAGAATAAAAATAATATTAAATTAAGAATAATCAACACTAATCAAAGAACTAAATAATAATTTTTGAAACAATGACTAATTGATTCATATCTTGAAACTATAGGGATTGATTTATAATTTAATCTTTCAAATTCGAATCTAGAATAACAACATGCTTATTATAAATAAATAAACTAAAACATTTGGGATGGATTACTACTCACAGTACTATTTACCTATATTAATTTACAATATTCATCCATATTCAAGAGCATTATTAATTTTTACTATAAAATGACATTTTTTTTAGCTTTTTTTCTTTTTTTTTCTTAACATCCGTGCGTAAATTTGATAGTGTATTCAATTTTGACCCTTGATATCTTTAAAAGATATTTTTAGTTCGCAGATGACCAAGTACTCATGCTTGCCTTTTCCTTTTTCTTTTCTTTTGCTTTTGCTTTTTTCCCAGCAAATTTATTTTAGTTTTTTATTATTAAATTGAGTGTGAAAATGATGAAAAATCAATTGTTGTTTTTTGGTTTTTCAGTTTTCAGATTTCAGAATATATATATATATATATATATATATAAATTGATCTCTTCAATTTTCTATTTCGTATGAAAATTCTTATCAAATTAATTTTTTAATTTCTTATATAATTTTATTTATCAATAAATATAATTTGTTTTCTATGTATGAATTTTTAATAAGTTTTTTGAAAATAATTAAAAAATAAAATGTATATGTTTTATTTGCTTAATATTTATGTAATCAAAATTTATCGAATCAATTTTATAGTTTTTTTTTATTACGATCTATTAACTTTAATATATTCCTTACAATTTAAGTTTTCTTAATTATTTTTTCGATTTGTATTGCATACTCGATCCACTCGGTATAATCATGATGTGTGTGTGTGTGTGTGTGTGTGTGTGTGTGTGTGTATAAGACTAATTGATTCATATCTTGAAACTATAGGGATTGATTTATACTTTAATCTTTCAAATTCGAATCTAGAATAACAACATGCTTATTATAAATAAATAAACTAAAAAATTTGGGATGGATTACTACTCATAATACTATTTACTCATATTCATATACAATATTCATTCATATTCAAGAGCATTATTAATTTTCACTATGCAATGACATTTTTTTTTTGTTATTTTTGAGGGTTTTTTTTTTTTTTCACATCCATGTGCAAATTTGATATTCTATTTAATTTTGATCCTTGATATTTTTAAAAAATATTTTTAGTTTCTAGATGACCAAGTACTCATGCTTTCCCCCTTTTTTTTTTTTTTTTTTGCTTTTGTTTTTTTCCCAACAAATTTATTTTAGTTTTTTATTATTAAATTAAGTCTGAAAATTATGAAAAATCAATTTTTTTTTTTTTTTGGTTTTCATACATGCTGGAGATTGTAAAATATATACAATATGTTTTCAAATTTTAGAATATATATATAATTGATCTCTTCAATTTGCTATTTCTTATGAAAATTCTCATCAAATTAATATTTTAATTTCTTATATAATTTTATTTGTCAATAATATAATTTATTTATTTTTTTCTATTTATGAATTTTTATAAGTTTTTTGAAAAATAATTAAAAAATAAAATGTACGTGTTTTATTTGATTATTATTTATATAATCAAAATTTATCGAATCAATTTTATAGTATTTTTTATTACAGTCTATTAACTTTCATATATTCCTTATCATTTAATTATTTTTTTAAGTATTTTTTGATTTGCGTTGCATACTCGATCCATTGAGTATAGTCACAATGTATATATATATAAAATTAGAATAATTGGTTTTATTAGAAATTAACTATGCATCTACACACATAACACTAATCATTTGCTATTTTTTTTTAATATTCTAGAATAATTTCTTTCAAATAAAATAATTTTTAGAAGAACCACCAAACAATTCAAATAAAACTTTTTATACTAATATTATAGATTATTTTCTAAATAAATATATATAAATCAAATGTACATTCTTTCAAAAAGTTAATCTTCTTATAAACAAAAATTTTTATACAAGTTTTTATAATAATTGTTGTTTAATTTCTTCCATGTAATCTGATGAAAAAACATTAAGATGTTTTTTAAATTTTATATTAATTTTTTTTTAGATTATTGTAGGTTTTTATTTAAAAATGAATGCATAAGAAAGAACAAATTGTGTCTTTTTACGTGCAAAGTTTATAAAAAACATAAAAAAGAATAAATTAAATACAAAATTTTGATTAAAAATTATAAATTAATTTTAGAATATTAAAAAAAATTAATAGTAAATGATTTGTGTTATGTATGTAGATGTATAATTGATTTTTAATAAAACTATATATATATATATATATATATATATATATATATATATATATTGAACATACTTAGTGGGTCGAATACCCGAGCAAATTAATTTTTTTAGAAAAAACTTGAATTGAAAGGAATATATTGAAGTTAGTAGATTGTAATCAAAATAATTACAAGATTGATTTTGATATATTTTGATTTTATAAAGAATAAGCAAATGAAACTAGTGAATTTTATTTTTTAATTGATTATTTATTCTTTAAAAAAACTTATTCAAAAATTTGTATATAAAGAAAATAAATCATATTTACTAACAAACAACATAAAAAAAGAATAAAAAATTATTTGATGAGTATTTCTATAAAAAAACGGCAAATTGAATAGATCAATTTTAAACAATAGGTTTAACAATAAAATTTATGACAAACATAAAGAAAAATAAATTAAATATAAATTTTTAGTTAAAAATTATGAAATTAGATGAAATTTTTTCTTGTATCTTTAATTTTATATATTTTAGTTTACAAGTTATCGAACTGAAATAAACAGATTTTATTGGTCCCACAACGTAATGCGGAAAACTTACTATTTAATTTATTGCTTAAACAAGCAATAACTTAGTTTCTTTTCATCAAAATAGATATAGTGATTTATTACCATTAATAGAGAAAAACAAACAAAAATTGATAGTAATTGTTCTTAAAGAAAATTAGTGAAGGCTAAAAAAGACCCAAATATACGACTAATGTCATATGAAGTATAACCTAATCGTGTTTAGAATGGAATTTTAAAACTAATGATAGAATTTGTGGTGGCGGAACTTACATATGAATGAAAAGTAGAAGAGTTATTAATATTTGATAATCTACTAGATGACAAGTTAACATTTCATCACAACTTTTAGGTAAAATATTAGTGGCATGTATTTAGATTTTTTTTAAAAAAAAGACGTGTAATGGTCTAATATTCAATAATGGATTTTGCTATTTTATTATTTTCGTTTAACATTTAATTAGATTTTTTTGGTAATATATACATTTGTTCTATAATACTCAAAGTTTTCTTTATGTTCATAAATTTTTAATTACATCTCATTTGTTCTAAAAAGTTTTTAAGATGTTTAATCTATTCTTTTAATCAACTTTTTTGACCACATAGAGCTTTTTTTTTTTTTTTTTTACCAAAATGCTCTTTACTGAAATACAAAAAAAAAAAAAAAACAAAAAAAAAATTTAAAGTCATAGTACATACATTTTTTATTTTTGAAATCTTTATAATTTTATTTTATTTTATTTTTTACATTTTAATTAGGAGTATTTTAGTCAAAAAAATTATTAGTTTGAAAAATTGATCAAAATAGCAGATTGAATATTTTAAACACTTTCAAAAATAAATTGAATGTAGTTAAAAATCTAAAAAGATATGAAAGATTTTAAGTTTTATAGAAAAACAAGCGGATATATTTACTTTAAATCTTTACAATTCTTAAATCAATTTTTGTATATTAAAAATATATTCTTATTCGTTGAATTAGAAGGAGGTCCTGACAAAGAAATCGGTTTAAACATTCATCTGCTATTTTCTAATACGGCCATAATGATAATTTTGAAAAAATAAAATAAAATTATGGCTGCTTAAAAAATGTGATGTGATGATGGCTGTTTGGCTATTGGACTTTTTCAAAGTGGTGTCGATTTAAGGATTTATGTGATTTGACGTGACCAGTCTCAACTGGCATGCTGCTTTTGTTGTATAGCTCAAGAACTAATGAGTCTCTTTAACTAATCAAGATTGAAATTCTCAACAGGAACACATGAAGCTTACATGCTTGGACTGAAAGAAGCATAAGTAAGGATGCTAGGGTTTTTTTCAAACTTTACCATGTCGTCCTTGGACAGTCCAATCCATGCTTCTATTCCCTTACCATCTTTTGTATCTAAGAAAATGGCAACCCTGTTAAGCTTCAACGCAGGACTTGACCAAATAGGCTTTCCCCACCCAAAATCAGCTTCATAAAATGGGAACTTACACCAACTACTGAAACCAAACACCCTCAAGTTAGGACTTTTTCTAGCTTGCTCCCCAGCTTTTTTGAGGAAGTTAAAGTACCCACCACCAGCATGAAGCTTCCTGATATAGTCGTTGTTCATCTTCCTTATTGAAGTTTTCCTGCTAAACGATTATAGTTTAGCACATTACTTTCACTCTCTGGCCAATTTGCTATTGTCACTTGGCAGAAGTTTCCAATAGATTGCTGTGGCAGTTGCGGTTTCATTCTCCTCCGCAAATCGACTGCAACCGTTGCAGTATTTATCCTGGTAGCCTCGTTTTCTCCGGTTACAGCCATCATAGCCCCCAAAATAAGAGCTGAAACAGCCTCAAAACGAGTCGGACGATCCTAATATTGTCCATTGCCTACTTCAGCTCTTAGAGCAGCTACCTTGGAACCATCAAACAAGAACCTTCTCATCACAATTTCCCTTAACTCATCCTCTTTTACGAAATTGTGCAAAGAGAAGCTTGATAAATCTTGTGGAGGGAAGAGTGTCGTGCCTTCAAAAATCACCTCGTTGCTAATGTTATTAGAAACAGAAGTAATTGCAGCCCAGCTATTAGCAAAGGTTGCTAGAGTTGATGCATCAGCAACTGCATGCCAAATGCAAATACTAATTGCCAACCCACCACAATTGAAGTAACTGACTTGAGCTGCTAGCATGACTGATCAGTGCTTAGCTTAGATGACTTTCCATAAGGGCTGCATTGTAGCAACTGTTCCAGCTGATTTATGTCTGCTTGCTCAAGCACCATGGATATTTCACCTGTATCTACATCGGCTTCAATAAACGCAGCACCATCATCGTTGCAGTTGATAGAAAAATCATCTTTTATTCGTCCGGCAAAAGGGTAGAAGTGAGTTAATGTTTTAGGGAAGGACTTTTTCAGATGATCAGATTTCCTACAGAAATATTCACTGGATGGTGAGTAAAAGAGAATGATCGGGATATAATGAGGAGGAGCTAACTGATCAAGGACAGAAAGCTTATAGGTTCTAAGGTGGTGCGGCGTGTAAGAAGAAGGTTTCAGGATTTCCTTAGAAATGATTTGAACTTCCATTTTCTACTTTCTTGTGAAAGTAAACTATACATCGGCTGCCAGTGTTTGATTCAGTACAAGAGAACTAACTGATAATTTAGTTTATATAGGACCCAGAGAATCTGCTACTATGGAGCATGATTTGATTCTGAAGGTTACTGATCATAGCCATTCAAAAGTGTAATGATGTCAACTCCACATTTTTTAACAAGTAAACATCATGAATTGCCATGTGCTAGGAATTTAATTTTCAACATAGACAGCCTGTCTCGACAACAAGAACATGTTATACATATTTAATTTTGAGGATGGTTTGTCTTCGACAATAAGCCATCCTACACAATGAAAGTCCCCTGAGATAATGAAGCTACTGTATTAAGTTATTGATTGCATGTTTACTTTTCAAAAGCAAGCTGTATTTTTTAGTTTATTTGGAATAATTCCTCAACATAACTATATCATTTTGGTTAGTTAATTTACTTTTTCTTTACAAACTTAATAAAACCAAACTAATTTACTTTTTCTTTACAAACTTAATAAAACCAAACTAAAGTTCGCACTTTAAACGATATTTTCTTGTGAACATTATAAAAAGAGGACAACTATTATACCTCAAATTTTTTCACTATTTTATTTTATCATTTATTTTATTTTATTTTTATTATTTAATTCATGTTGTTCGTTTAAACAAAAAAATAAAAAAAAATAAAGTTAATTAATGAAAATCAATAAAAAAAAGGTTCTTTATTGATATTATAATTCAATACAAAAAAAAAAGGATGGAGGGATCCGACTCGTACTATTTTTCCTAGTCCTCTAATTTCCCTACAACCTACATCAACTTCTAACCCCTCCCCAAGTCATCTAGTACTAAGGGTGTTCACTATTTGGTGAAAACCGAATAATCAAACCGAACCGCATAGAAATATTTGGGTTTTTAAAAAAAAAACCAATTAAACTGAATAATCAAAATTATTAAAAAATATATATATTTTTAATAAATTCTTTAAGCGAGCATGGCAAAACCCGACTAAGTCAACTCATCCCTTTAGTTTTCCCTCACACAAGACGATGAGTCACTCGCCTCATGCTCATGCCAAATCCATTTCCGGTCTCCGAAACCTAAACCTAAAATCTCCCTTAAATTCTCAATTCCAAATTGCAAATCACAGACAACCTTCAATCATCCGATCATCCATTCATCCCCCTCTTCGGTCTTTACTCTTATTCCTCTTTCGATCCTTCCTCATTGTCAATGTCCACTACCTAGTGCAATTGCAAATGTGAAATGTGTCCCCCAAATTGAAAAACTTGTCTCTTCTAAATTGCAATCCCTAAACCATCGGCCACATGCCCACATCCCCCCTTCACTTACCCACATTCTTCCTCCTCCTTAGTCCTCGAGCAACCCTTAAACGTCGACCACGTCCCTCCTCTTGGGCCACTTCATTCTTCACTTCACAATTGACGAGTGGACAATCCGCTCTTCTCCCATAGTCCCGAGTTAATAGTGAGTCATGCCGACCCAAATAATTATCCAATGAATGTGATTATGTGAATTGAAAGTTTGTTAAACCTTTCTATAGTTTTACTCCAGTTAATGCATTGTCATTTTGGCTTGTCTTTTTCATTTGGTAACGTAAAAAGTAGATAGGACTATAGGAGTTCTATATTTTGTTACCCGTCAATTAAGCATTTTCTTTTCATTTAAGAAGAGTATTGAGTCAAATTCATCTAATATCTCTTGAAATGTATTTACTTTAATTTCTCATACTTGGGAAGGCTTTCTTTTAGCCGAGTGCCAAAAGGTTCTATGGATTGCTAAGTCTGTTTTGTGATTTTATTGGATATAGATATATACATATATTAAGTTTTGAGTTATTATTTAGAAAGGAAAACTATGGAATGGTATACTTTTATTTTGAAGGTTGTTTAGGGAACCAACTCGTCATGGTCATGGATGGGTGTTAATCATGATATTTTCTTGTTATCAATTGAAATTGAGAGTTTTTAAAATTTTTCTTGATCATTGTGGTTAAGTGGTTGATTTTAGGATCTATGGATTCTTGGTCATTTTCTCTTCATTCAAGCACCGAAGTTCACTTGATTTGATGATTACTCTTAAGACTACTTTATCGAGTGAGGATAGTTTCCTCGATATAGTGTTCGAATAACACTCATTTATATCAAAACTTTTCTCTAATTAGGAATCAATTTTCTCCATGTATTAATGTAGAAACAATGCCGATCAATGCTTCTTGGTTTAATCTTTTTTTGTAATTGGTGCATGAGGTATGCAATATCAATTGAATATCTATATATGCGAATGGCCTCAAAGAGTTGAAATGCAACATGACACGTGAAAGGCGAGACTTGAATTAATGTAAACGTCTAAGGAACTGGTGCTTCATATAGGCGTTGGCTCGGTGAGAAGAAATTTATGGATGACATTATTGCTTTCAAAATTAACAATATTGCAATGCATGACATTTCGTGAAATGATGATTGAGTGTTGAATTGTAAGGTTAAGAAAGAAAAAGAAACCAATTTTATTCCACCTTGATATTATATGCATCATTATATTTATCATGCTAATACTAGAGTTTTCCAAGTTGAAGAATCATTGCATTTGACTTGTTTGCATCAAGCAAAACCTTTCAAATGTTGTTTTGTCTATGCCACATCCCACTGGCGGTGGCCACTCGTCCAATATTGGCCACTTGTTTTAATAATTATAGGCTTGTATTTAATAATTATTTCTAATCAAATATATTTATGAATTTGTATAGATGTTGGGATTCTCGGATGTTGGTAATGAAGTTGCAAGTTCAACCCATCCGGAACCAGCAATAGATACAAGCTGTTGTCTCTCCATTGAACACACAATTGAACACAAAGATGAAGTGTAATAACCGATACTTGCTAAAACTAGAATTTAATTAAATATTAAATATTAAACACATGTGGAAAATATTTTGAGGATAAAAAATATTTATTAGGGACTTAAAAGAATATTTAGAATAGTTAAAATAGTTTTTCCATGCTTAAGGGATATTCTATTGATTTTACGATCCATGAATAGTAGTTTTTGCATGAAATAATTATTTAACACATGTTGTATGTGCATGAAAAATGTTTGTTTGTATAGAATATTTTTTAGAGGGGTGTTGAATTATTTTATACAATTGTATGAATTTTCTTGTATGTTATGAATATTTTATTTGAATTGTTAGGTATGAGAATAGCGTTTTAGAGATAGAAGAATTAAATTAGGTACTGCAAAGGTATGGGAAATTTTTTTTAAGGGCATAGAAAAATCATATAGGATGTGTAGGAGTACCTAATAAATTTAAATTAATTTTATCCAAGTGTAAGAAATATTTTTCATAGGAAATTGTGCAATTTTTACACTAAATAATGAATTTGGAGGCCTAAATGAGGTAAAACAATTATGAAAATTTAGATTAAATCCTCTTAATAAATTTTTGAATTTATTCTATAAAGAAATTGAATTTTTGAAAAGAGTAGAATAAAATTTTAGAATTAAGGACCTAATTGCATAGAAATTAAGCACTTAATTGCATCAAATTAAGAGTTTGAACTTCTAAATTAAATTAGCTATGAACCTAGGGAGTTTAAAAGTTTTTAAGATACCTTTAAGGGAAGGGATTGAAGTGATCAATTGACAAATTGAAGGATGATGGAAGTTGTAATTAGAGAAAAAGATTAATAAAATGAGGGATTAAAATTAAGAAAAAAATTTGGACTCTTCCACTACTTTCCAACGAAAATTTTCTGCTTGATTAGGCCCTAATTAATGTACATTGACTTGTTTAAAAAGAAAAGGTTTAGAAGCATGCAAGATGGAAGGTTTAGAATAAAAGAAAAATCAAAGGTTTAAGATTTATCCATTTGAAGGGCTAGGATTAAAATTTATTTCAACGGTCAAGATCATTCTAAAACACTTAAATTCAAGGGTGCGAGATGAGGTCAAAAGTCCACCCAAATTATGCTTATAAATAGGGGTGCATGGAATTAAGAAAAATGCATAAAAAATAGCTAAAAATAAGGAAAACTCTTGCCAATTTTCCGTAGAAATTTTCACTTAAAACCACTCAAAACCACCACTATATACCTTAAATCACCTAGATAAGCAAGGAAATCAAGTTGGAAGCTCAAGAATTTTCAAGAGGAAAAACTTTGATTTAGTCCGAATTTGGGGCAAGAAGAGGAAGGAAGGATTTTGCAAATTTTTCACCTTTTGAAGTTTAATTAGAGCATATATAGGTAATTTAACTTCACCTACACAAAAAACAAGTTTAATTTCATGTCAATTTGATGTTTAATTGCCTTCATTGTGATTAATTACATTAAGTGTGAAAAAATAGGGTTAGGTTTCTTGATGAACAAAGATTAAGGAAAATAAAATTAAACTTGTTATTCATGAAATTGAGATTCAAATAGGTTGATTAGGCTTGAAATTGAGGTTTAAAACTCAAAAATTCATAGGGTTTTCTAAGGGATACCATTCGGCCTAAATACCCAATCTGGAGGGTTTTTGATTCATCCATGTAACCGATGTCCTAGCACTTGAACATGACTTAATTAGGTTTGAATTAGTATTTAGAAATAAAAATTTTTACTTTGATTGAAGAAAAATTCATAAAATACCAAGGGTTATATTCGGCCTAGTTAGGGATTTTTAGGGTTAGAGTGTCATGCATCCAATTTATGGTTTGATGATCAATTTGAATTTGAATGAGCATGTTTTGATGTGTAGGAATAAAAAATTTGAAGAAAATTGATTAAATAGACTTAGGCCCAATTCGGGTTTGAGTAGGATTTTGTACTCCAAATGTTAATCAAATGGATTCCTATGATTAATGTATAAATTAAATACTTGGTTTATAATTATTTGGCAAAATGAGAAGAAAATATTAGGGTTTGGACTTAGGGAGAATTCGGCCTAAATGAAGTTGATTGGGGTATTGAATTTCAAATGGTTTATATTGTTTTATTTG